CGCATAATTGAACTTGCATTTTCAAGAATTGTACAGCACGTAAATCTGAATGCAGATCCCAGATTCTGTGGTCTTAAACTTAAAAAATTTTTCTTTCCTAAAATTTAACAATCCTCCTACCCCTGCTAATTTGTCTACCTGGACTGACCTCATCTATCTGTTCTTCCACTTCTAAGCTCCTTCTTAGTCCATCCAATAGCATAGTAGTAATAGTAAGCTTGTGAAAATTACAAAATCAAGCTAATTTCACTCTGTGAATTTGGGATACATCCTCAGCTGAGCAATCACAGCTATTCAACAATCTTTCTTCTCTTCCCTTATTACCTTCTTATCTCATTCCCCACTTTGTCTGTTGTAAACTTTTTCTTTACCCTTGACACCCTTCAAGCCCACCAATCATGTTTCACACTTGCAGTAGATGACCTAGTGTCTTGCATAGCTGAGAAGGTTTAGAATGAATTCCCCCAGTTTTCCTTTGCTCCTCTCTCCCAACTTAGTGTCATCCACTTTCCTTTATTTTCCCTTAGGAAAAATATATTTAATTTTTTTCCAATTACATGTAAAATCAATTTTTAACCCTCACTTTTTTGTAACTTCAAATTCTAAATTCTCTCTTCCCCTCCTCTCCCTATCTCCTTGAATTGAGAAGGCAAGCCATTTGATAAAGGTTAAATGTGTGCAGTCATGCAAAACATATTTCCATATTAGTTGTGCTGTGAAGAAAACAGACACAAGAAGACCAAGAAAATAAAGTAAAAAATAAAAACACAGTATGCTTTGGTCTACATTCAGATTTTATCAGTTCTTTCTCTAGGGATGGATAGCATTTTTCTGGACCATAAGTCCTTCAGAATTGTCTTGGATCTTCGTATTGCTAAGAATAGCTAAGTCATTCACAGTTGATCATTGTACAATATTGCTGTTACTGTGTACAGTGTTCCTGGTTCTGTTTACTTTACTTGGCATTAGTTCATGTAAATCTTTCCAGGTTTTTCTGAAAGCATTCTGCTCATCAATACAATAGAATTCCATCATAATCATATGTACCAGAGAACTTGTACAGCCATTCCTCAATTGCTGGTCATCCCTTCAATTCCCAACTCTTTGCCACCACAAAAAGGGCTGCTATAAATATCCTTGTACATATAGGTCCTTTTTTAAAAAAAAAAATCTCTTTGCGATACAGACCTAGGAGTGGTATTGCTAGGTCAAAGGGTATGCACAGTTTTATAGCCCTTTGGGCATAGTTGCAAATTGTTTTCCGGAATGGTTGGATCACCCTCTCTCTTTCCTGTCGTCATAGAAGTAGAGAGATCCCTACTCCTTGCTCATGCTAATCCATCTGCATGCATCCATTATCTAATTTCTAACAATCTGCACTGGGCAGTCATCCATTTTTTCTCTCTCACATCTTCAGTTTCTGTCTCTTAATCTGGCTCTTTCCCATGTGCCAAAAAAAATAGGCAGGTTTTCTGAGCCCTCTGAAATCCTTCCCTTGACTCTTTTACCATGTCTTCATACTGTTCTACACCTCTATTCTCCTTCAATACTGATCTTATTGAAAAAGTTGTACCAACCTGAAGTGTCTGCTTACTTATCTTCTCAGCTCCTTATAAACTGGCTTTTATCCCTCTCACTCTATTGAATCTGCTCACACAGGTCACCAGACTCCTATTTGTCCAAACATAATGGCCTTTTCTTAGTCTTCATTTGCTTTGACCTCTGTGTTTTTAATGCTGTTGGCCACTCCCTCCCCCGGATGCTTTCTTTTCCCCTGGTTTCTGAGACACTACACACACTTGCCTGGTTTCTTCTTCCTTTAACTTCACCTTTTGTTCTCCATTGTTGGCTTCTCATCCTCCTCCTGATCCCTTAATATGAGTGTTTCTCAAGGGTGTGTCCTGGCCCTTTTTTCTCTCCTTTAGGATTTCATTCACTTCCATAGCTTCAGTTACCATCTCTGTCTAGAGGATTCTGAAATCTCTGTCTCTAAGTCACACCTTCCTTCCTGTGCTCCAGATCCGCATCTTCAACTACCTACAGAGACATCTCCATTTGGTTGTACCATTGATGCCTCAAACTGGACATATCCAAAATTAAGCTGATTATTTTCACTCCCAAACTTCTTTTCCCCTTTGACCTCCCTCTTTTTGTCTGTTACAGACCTTTACTTGGCCTCCCAAGTTTGTAACCTTGGTGTTTACTTGGATCTTTCTCTCTCCTTCATGTTATATCTAATCACTTACTAAGTCTGTTGATTCCAGCATCTGTGGCATTCATTTCATCTTCTCTGTTGCCACTGCCACAACTCTATATAGATTTTCATCTGTTGGAGTAGATAATCACCAGATAGGTGATTATCACCTATTTGGACTTAACTACTGTTGCCTCCTAACATCTTTTTGCATCTACTCTCTTCCCTCTAATCCATCTTTTGCTCTACTACTGGAATAATTTTTTATGCATAGTTATTGTCCTGTCACTGCTCAAAAAGCATGAACTACTGACACCCTCTCAGCTCCTGAGTTTTAGCTTTTCTTTGCTTGACATTCAAGGTCTTCCAGAACCTGAAGCCAACTCTCCCTCTCCAGATTTATCAGATGAATGTCCCTGAGCTGCAGCCAAGTTGGTCCCCTCTCTGTTTCCCAAACTTGTCCTGCACTTTCTTTCTGTGTCTTTGCTAATACTTTCTTGTGCCTGGAATGCCCTCCTGCCTTCCCTCTCCAACATCGCCCGTTTCATTCATCAGCTGCTCCCTCTAGGAAGCCTTCACTGATCCCCTGGCCTCTAACAGACTTCCTTCCTCTTGAACTTCACAGAGCAAGTTGCTGTGCAAAGTCATTCTCTCATGAGATACTTTAATTCCATGAGAAGAGGGACTATGGCTTACCTAAACATTGTAATTGTATTTTCCTTGCACCTAGCTTAGGACCTTTGAGCCTAGGCTGATACTTATTGAATGTCAAGTGATAATGCTGTCTGATTGTCTAGCTCCGCTAGCATTTCTATAGCTCTCCTATGTTTGTGAAGTGCTATGCAAATAGGATTTCATTTGATCCTCATAAATGCCGCAGGGGGGACGTGCCATTATTATCCCCATTTTACAGATGAGGAAACTGAAGTTGAAAGAGAGGAGGTTAATTAACCTACCATGTGTGTTAACTATTACACAGTAAGTGTCTAAGACAGGATTAGAAGTCAGCCTGATTCTCAAGTCTAGAATCCTGTCCACTGTGCCACTCAGAGCCCAACACATGGGTCACCCTCCAAGTTAACAGCTTTCAAGACATTCTTTAATTCTGCCACTCCAGATCCTCCACTATGAGCTGCTGGCCATCCGTGATGCCTGCATCAAGCTGGAGAAGGACTATCAACCAGGGATCACCTATATTGTGGTCCAGAAGCGCCACCACACTCGCCTTTTCTGCGCTGACAAGAATGAAAGAGTAAGATGCACATAGCCCCTGGCCCAGTTTTCTTTCCTTCCTCTGAGTGGCACAAAACTGTTTGCCTGCTTGCCTGATGAAAATTTTGCTTTCTGTCACGTAGAGAGGTATTTGAGATCATAAAGGAGAACCTCCTCTGGGAATAGTGTAGGAGTGAAATCCTGTGATAATTCAGCCTTAGAAAAATCAGACATTTTCTTAGCCCTCTATCCCTCCCCAGACACCATCCCCCTAGGGCCCAGCCTTTGCCCTTCAAGGCTCTGTGTATTAACTTTCCAGGGGTTACAAAGGACCAAGAGCTCTCAACAGGACTGCCTTGGCTTACTTCAAGACCATATAGGATTCAGCTGAGACAGGTTAGGGACCAGACTCAATTTCCAAGATCTTATTTGTGTTTTTTCTCCTTGCAGATTGGGAAGAGTGGAAATATCCCAGCAGGTACTACCGTGGACACCAACATCACTCATCCATTTGAATTTGACTTCTACCTGTGTAGCCATGCAGGCATCCAGGTAGTTAGGTTGATCCCTGGGGACTTCAGGCTGTTGGTGGTGGTAGTGGTTGGGGGGGCCCGGGGGAGGGAATGATGATGATGATGGGGTGAGCTAAGAATGGATTAAAACCCTACTAAGTTCATTGATTAACATTCATTTGTGTGACTCTCCTATTTTAGATTTGTGGACAACTCAGTTTTAATCCTATACCACTAATTACAAATTTCATATGAGATTTGAATATAGTGAGGTTAACACGTGATGGTTTCTTAGAAGTGGTGGATTTTAATTCCTGGGCAGGCTTGTTTATAACTTATCTGTCTGCCAGCTCTGAGGGAGGGGGATGTGCTGAATGTTCCTTCTTAGAAGCCTTTTTGGATTGCCCTTCTCTAATTCCCTGTGCCCCCTCCCAGGGGCCCTGTGGTGAAAACATTCCTCCTCACTCCGTCATCTCCATAGGGCACAAGCCGACCATCCCACTACTATGTCCTTTGGGATGACAACCGATTCACAGCAGATGAGCTGCAGATCCTGACCTACCAGCTGTGTCACACTTATGTGCGCTGTACACGCTCTGTCTCCATCCCAGCACCTGCCTACTATGCTCGCCTCGTGGCTTTCCGGGCACGCTATCACCTGGTGGACAAAGAGCATGACAGGTGAGGCCCATGGTTGGAAAGGAGGACTGTCTTAGTGGAATGAAGAGGAAGGGAGGCCATGGAGCATAGGAGAACAATATTACAAGCATGTCCAGTAACTGTCTGAGGGGGTTGCTTATCTGTCTCTCTTTTTTTAGCGGCGAGGGGAGCCACATATCGGGACAAAGCAATGGGCGGGATCCCCAGGCCCTGGCCAAGGCTGTGCAGGTTCACCAGGACACTTTGCGCACCATGTACTTTGCTTGAAAGGCAGAACGCTGTTACCTCACTGGAAAGAAGAAAGCTTTCAGAGCCCAAGGAGCCATACAGATGGAAGGAATCCCAGGAAGAGGAATCCAGGGGAGTGGGAGGGGGTTGGGGGCAGGCTGGGGGGAGGGGGGAGGTGGGGAAGGAGAGCTTGTTTCCCCACTGCAGAGCAGAAGCTGCATCACTAGGGGGTGGGGGGATGGGGGGCAGGGCTGGCAAACAGGGACCACCAGCCAAAGGCTCCTGACTCTTCCCTTGCTCTGCCACATCTGACCCGACCCCAGTGGACCAAGAGAGAGGCAGCATCGTCGCTCACAGGTGCCCATTTTAAAATGCAATACTAAAGACTTGTGACTGGGAGGGCTCCATAAGGTCGGCTCTACAGCTGCGGCTCGAGGGACAGAAGCTGGTAGGTTTGGGTTCACTTCTTTTAGAGGGAAAAGTGTTGGCTTGGAAAAGAGGGTGGGAGGAGGAGGAGGGAAGGATTTTTAGGAGCCTTAATCAAAAAGGTATAGATTCATTTAAGAAGAAAAAAAAATTCCAAACCAATATTTTAGGGTAGTAGAGGTTTTAATGGGTTTGAAATCCAGTTTGTAGGGAAATTCTACCACCAGTAGTTTTGGTTGCTCCTCCCCCTAGCTGTCACCCCTCCCCTCTGCGGCACACCTTCCCCCCCCTCCCATGGGCACCTTCCTCCCTCCCCCTCCCCATCAGATGTAAGGCACTATGGCACTTAGTCCGAATTGACACAGCCCTGTCTTCCTTCTGCCCCACTGGTGGGTGACCAGTGCCTTCACTGTAATGCTGCAGAACTGCAACCTTTTTGTACCTTTTTTTTTGTGTGTGGGAGGGGGAGAAGGGGGATATGGGAAGCAGGGGAGAAACACCCCAAGCCTCACAGGCCTCCTGTAGGTGACGCTGCCAGCTGTCTGCATCAGAAGGAGTTGACTATGACATTCACAGAGTGAACCCATTGTTTTGAGATCACAACCTCAAGATGGTTAAAATCCATTGAAGACATTTGCACTTTCAAACATGACAAGTTTCTTAGCTGCTGAAATAACTGACCCTTGCCCTCCCCCCACTCCCACCCCTCTGTCCCCAGGTTCCCAGAGCGTTATTTCAATGGCATCCTTTCCTCCATGACAGTTGAGTCTCCCATGTTTCAACATTTCTTTGCTGGGCTATCTTAGAACAAAAGATACTTAGGTCTAAAAGAAGAAAAAAAGAGAAAACTAAATGTTATTTTTATACAGTATCTTGAGTCTGTTGCCAAAACTTGCAGGTGACTCTCATGTCCTCTGAGTTTACATCCCAGACACACTGAGCCGTCCGTCTGTCTGTCCATAGAAGGGTCATGCACCTGGGTCACTGTTCTGCCCAGTAGGCAGGGGGTGGGGTTGGAGCCCTGTTGTTTCTTGGTTCCTTCCCCTGCTCTGTGCATTATCCACCATTCCCTTGCGCCCCCTCCCCAGAGGATCCTTTTGTCTCCTCTATTCTTAGTCGGAGCTCAGGCTCTCCGACTCCAGCATGGCCTGCAACACACTTTTTGATAGCTTCTGCTGCTTGCTTTCGCTGCTGTTTACACAAAATACTTTTAGTTCTGTGCGCAAGGGGCAGATGGGGAAGTGTATGCATGTGTGCATATAGTCTTCCCTCTTTCTGCAGTCAGTGAAGGGGTCTGGCTGGGGTAGGGTCAGAGGGCTATAATTGGTCTGTCACTTTGGGGAGAACATGGGCACCAGATTGTCCAAGGCCTCGTTAGGCTGCCAGGTGCCCAAGGTGTCAGTGGTTAGGCCCCTTCCTGTGGCACGGGTAAGCATAGGAACGGCTTATTTGTTTTTGCCCATCTGGTGAGGACAAGGAACCTCAGCTCATTGTGGGAATTTCTCTGTGCTCTTTAAGGGATTAGATACTAGGTAGCCTAGTCTGTCATCTCTTCTACTGGGCTTTAGTTTGGTTGTTTTGCAACCATTGACCTTGAGGGCCACACCCTTATATGAAGCCCTTGTGGAAAGCCTTGGCCCTCAGGCCTAGTAGCTGGTAAAGCAGACACAGGCCTGGAGGCTGGCTTGAAACCAAGTCTCTATCCTTGTCTGCTCAGGGAAAGGTGGGCAGGTGTTGGAACTGGCTCTTCCCCTTCCCAGCAGAAGAGTTGCCAGACCATGATTTGCTATGCAAAATAATCTACCCCAGTCTCTATTTTTGTTGATCATGTTGTTCAAAGATATCAGCAAAACTTAGCACAAACAATAGTTGTGGAATAGGGCATTGGGACAGTTTGGTAATTCCTTCCATTCCTTCCTTCCTTCCCTTCCTTCCTAGCCGATAGTATCACCTACCCTGCCGTCCATGGGCTGGATGGCTGGGAAAGCCAGTGGCTCTCCCCCTAGCTGTGGGTGGCAGGGTGGGGAGGGGCTCTGGGAGGGGGTGAGCTCACCTAGGAGCCTACATTCCTTACACAAGTGCCTATATCGTGATGTCAACACTCTGCCCGCCTCTGTCCATCTCCATATCCTTGCCTCTAGTCTGTGTCCATTCATACCTCTGGGTGGGGCTCCAGCCTTTTGAAGCTCCCCCAGGACCAGTGGCTTTGCATGTTTTCTCCGCATGTGTCTTGGGGTTGGGGTTCAGGGCAATTTTCCTGGGAGGGTACAATCATTCACCAGCATTTATCCATGCCCGTGGCAGGTGGCAGCCACAGGGCCCGATTTGTGTTCCTCCTTTTCTCTCTCTGCCTCCCTCCTGTTGAGTTTTGAGCTGGGGTCTGAATTGCTTTTTTAGACATGTTGGCATTACATATGCCATTTGTAAAATAAATAAATGAAAGTGCGAGGAGCAGCTTGGGCATTGGTAAAAAAACAAACAAAAAAAACCCAACAAACAACAGAATAGCTTTGTTGCTCTTGTGATTTTTTTTTTAGCCTTTGAGACTTGAAATATAAACTTGACCTTAGAATTTGCACTTGTGTGTGAGGTGCCGTGTGCAGGATGAGAAGGTGGTCCTGGAAGTAAGCTCTCAGCTCTGTGGGCTTCCTTGTCCAGGTGTTGGGGGCACCCAGAGTGCCCCAGCCAGTCTCTTTAACTGTCTGTTGCTTCTCCCACCTTTCTCAGTACCCTCATTCTGCTTCTATGCCTTTTTGAGATCAAGCCTCTGCAGAGCTCCAGTGTCAATAGTTACGCCTATTGTGAAGCCGTCGCTTCTTTGCTTCTGAGCACCTGGAATTCCATTTTTTCTATAGGTTTGACTCACAGTGTAGTGCCCACCTGGCATCTGGTGCTGCATGAGTATCCATGTGAGCCTCTTGCTATGTCTCTATCCCAAGGCCTCAGCTGATGCAGAATCAACAGGCATGCCAAGCTGGGGTGACAACAGGAGGCTTTGCTTCTCCTTAGGACCGTCCCCCACCACCACAAGGTGCTATTCCTGCTGTAATACTGAGCACCCTGTATGCTTCTGGTCCTGGTTACCCCAGTAGCTGCCTCTCTTTCTGGGCCACATCTCTGAGCAGCCTCCTTTAAGGAGGCCTGGAATTCAATGCCTTAGGTGGCCAAATATTTTAGGCTGGGTGGCCAAGGGGAGCAAAGAGAACAAATTTTTGCCTTCTGTTCCTTCATGGGTGCGTGGGATCAGACTGGATGAAAGATCCATCCCTTCCACTGTTTTGACTAGAGTGTTGAGATATCAAGCCAGTGGCTAAACAGAGAAAGGGGGAGGGATTACTCCTGAACACTACAAAGGCTGCCCAGGTTGGATTGAATTGATTCTTGCTTGATGTGCCAGTTGGGCATTCCCTTCTACCTAGGATCAATGCCACAGGACCCTTGGGGTCCAGAGAAGCAATGTTGGTGGTGGGGATGAGACCTCCCAGGCAGGATGGGCAGCTTGGGAAATACTTTTTCTCCTTGCCTGGGCCAATAGTTATATGCAAAGCTGTTGGAGGCTTTTTCTGGAGCCGGGACCTGGCAGGGCGGGCCATTTGGCGGTAGGATGTGGGGAGAGCTACCTCTGTTGTAGCAAAAAAAAGGGGCTTTGGAAATAGCATCCAGGGGTAGTTGTGTTTTATTTATTAATCTGGTATCTGTGCCAGGATAAGTATTGGGTTACCCTCTTCTCCCAAAAGCTTGGACATCAAGTGCATGTGCCAAGTCTGTGGAGGGCACCCAAGGCATTCTGTAGCCACTCTGTCTGGCCCTCTGCAAATGGGGAGGTGCTCTTATCTTTTAATCTCTTCAATTTTTAAGGACTTGCTTTCTCCCTGGGCTGATGCAGGACCCAAAATGGTATTCCACAGCCATTCTACTCTCTTCAGGCTCTGAGCTTCAGGCTGCTGCAGAGGGACAGGGAGGTTGGGGACACCTTATTGGAGCACCCAAGGCTCGTGGAGAAGCACTAAGAGGGGCAGGGTTCATCTCCCTTTTGAAAATGAATCTTCAAAACTTTGTGCAAATAAAGTGAATCTGTTGAGTCTAATGACAGTCCAATGGCTGAACAGCAATAAGAAAATGCTGGAGGACATTTTTTGTGTACGTGGTATTGTTGCACTTAGCAGAGGTATGGTGGACAGAGGGTTCAGAGCACTCCTGGGGTTTAGTTTCAGTTCAGTTTCTAAACTTTCACACCTCCCTGAGCCCAGTGAGGGCAGAGCTGTCCTTGGGGCCCCACACCCAGAGTCCTTGTTTGCTTTTGGTTTTCTCTTTGACCTGTGTTAGTGTCCTGCTTCTGACTGTATGCTGGATGGTCCATTTGTGAAACTGCCCAAGCGGTTGTAACGGACATTTATTTCTGAAACAAGCAGCCGCATGATATTGTGTTTTATAAAGATAACAATGGCTTATGTTTTAAAAGTGCAGCATCATTTTTCTTCTTTTTTTGGCTGAGGGGGGAGTCGGGGTGCGGGTGGGGGGCATAGATCTGAACAAAGCTGCCAAGAGCAATTACATTGATTTTAGGCCAAAACAATAAAGAGAATACTATAAGAGTAGAACACCATTGCTTTTTAAGGGGAAAAAAGAATTAAGAATTAAACAACCTCTAGATCATTGTAGCTATTTGTGGCTTCCTTGCTTATGACTGGTGCTTATGTCTTTGCTCCTGAGGGTGAGGGGCTCTCATTCCCCAGGGAAGCTCTGAGGGTCTTTATTTTGAAGTAGAAGGTCAAAGGTTGGAGAAGCATTTTATTGGTTTCTGCCTTTTCTCAAAGAGGAAGAGAGCTGCAGCTCCATACAAACAAAGGAACCCACAAAGGAATCTTTACTTGTCCCCAGAGGCCCTACGTCTCTGTCCCTCTTTATCTTATTGAAATATCTCCTGGAGGGCTAGAGGCTGGTATTTCACATTAATAGCCAACCCACTGAGGATACTTCAGAATTCATTTGATGGTACTTCTGCCATAGGATGAGTATGAA